TTGCAGAAAGCTTTCTCGTCCACCCACAGCTTGTTGGGGTAACATGGACTGAAGGTGCACAGGAGGCTTCCTGGGGTGTACATCAAACACACTCAGTTTAATTACTGCAATGAGAGCATATACTGTAGATTAGCCTATGTTCACATTAAGAAGATAGATATGAATACCATGTATAACTGAATGCCAGATAAGAGCAGTAAGCCTAGGTTTTGACAAGTAAGATTCTATTTTTAAACTTGTAAAATAAACCTTGGTCTGAGGGAACCACGGCTCCGGTCAGGTCCAATCTGTGCTTTTCCCCAGCCAGTGGCACACACCGCTCCATCATTGTTCCTGGTAACGCCTCCTGGGGAAATCACACAGAGAAAGGGTGGGCCAGGAATCAAATACACATAGGGTTAGATTCAGGGGTGATAGTGCCATGATTTTAGTTTTGTGTTTATAGTTCCTGTTTTACTTTGAAATGCATTCTCTCCTTGTGTCTTGACCTGTCTTACTTCCTGTGTTTTCCCTCCTGTGTGATTGTCTTATTGCCTTCACCTGTTGCCCCTGTGTCTCAGCCCCCCTCCCCAGCTGTGTCTTGTCTAGTGATTAGTCTTGTCTTCCCTTTACAGTTTGTCGCCGTTCCCATGATTGTTCCTGTCTGTTTTTTGTCTACCATCACATTTTTTGACTGCACCCGGGTCCAACTTCCTGCTAAACCCTTACAGATAACCAGATAAAAAAGGTGTGATCCTTATATAACTCTCGAAGGGTGGGTGCTAGTGTGTTGAAGTCTTGACTGTCTGATGGTCTTCTCCCTCCTCTCTTTTGTACCAAGGTTGGCGCCTCTAGCCTCCTCATCTGATGTAGCTGTCATTGACACTTGTAGCAAAAATGGTATGACTCTCATATAACTCCCAAAGTGTAAGTGGCAGTCACCAAACTTTGTGTACGTGATTTTATCTTCCCACAGCTCATGTGTACCAAGTTTGGCATCCCTAGTGGCTTCTTTTCCAATAACTGCCATTGACACACCACCTGGCTGTCTTATTGTGCCTTAGGGTTAGGGGTTAGGGTTAGGGTTATGGGTATAGGTCTTAAAGAGAAAGACCATGGACTATCACCCACCCCTCTATGATTGACGTGATTCGTCTGTTTGACCAGGAACACAACATGCTCCTTCTTCCCCGTCCGCTCATCTTCCTCTGATTGATTGACAATGGTCATGGTCACTTCGCTATCAAAAATGTCTTTGGCAACCGCCTCCATGATACCTGCAGCAAAGTGAGGAAGAATATTGAACACTGCCCATTTACAGATGTTGTTGTTCAAAAGGTGTAATCTATCGTTGTTATTCTCTGTCTTTGCAATATATCACTCTGCAGTGTATTGAGGAAGTGTGGTTGATGTTACCAGGGACAATATGGTACAGGCCCTTCCTGTCGGAGTAGTAGTGAAGGAGCATCTTCCCATCGTCCGTCATCTCCACTCGGAAAGACGGTGCATTCATTTGCTTTAAAAAACAAAAACAACAACAGACAGAAAAATAAAAGCTGTCTCTATGAGGTTCAGTTCAAGCAATGCCTGTTATATATGATATGGATGGTTGGCACAGATGCATCTCTGATCCTCAACTACTTTGCTGGACATTAAGAGAAGTTCTCTCCAATTAACTCATAATAGAATTATACTAAATAAAGTCTGGTTGTTTTTGTGTACATATGAGGAGTCGTTGGCCACATTACCTCATAGGACAGCGCTAAGTAACTGTGGAGAGAATCTAAATTCCCAATGAACTCTGTCAGATTTCCTCCCAGTGTCCTCAGCATGGTGTCATAGCCCGCTTTCTTACAGAAAGCAAAGAAATGTTCTCCAAAAAGCTTCAGCAAGACTTCAGCGGAGACATCTGAAACACATACAGCGGACCACGGTTACAAATCTTTGAGGATAAATAACAAAACATCCCTTATCGTGTCGCACTCAGGTCTCCCAGTGCACATGTTTATGTTACTACAGCAAGCAGGTATTCAATTAGAAAATATTCCCAAAGGTCTGCACAGTCCAGATAATCAGAGCTCTGGGAGTAGATGTTGACATGCCCCAAATAAACAATTCTTGTTGTCTTTGACACATCTGTGCCCAGGGGACTCACGTTTAATTATCTATCAAAGTCACTGCCAGATATGATTTGCACATGTATAAATAAGTAATGTAACCGTCATGTAGAAACAGTTGTTGTGCAAACTATTCTACTTTAGAAAATGTTTATTTAGGCGATTAATTCAGTTAATTCAATTCAATTATAAAAAATATGTCTAATATAATCTTTTACATAGGATTACAATAAAAAAAGACCTGCAACTTCACTGGTGTGCTCATGCTCTCTACACAATAACTACTATGGAGTGTAACAAGTAATGATTTTCAGTATTATTAAGAAAGCTGCCACTTCAAAAAAAAAGGCATCATTTTTCAATTTCACTATATTTTAAAGTGTTGGTGCATGCAGCCATATAAACTGAGTGTTAACTGGATTTCTTTGAGGACATTGTTAATATTGACACAGACAGACACCTCACACATCAACATGCTTATATTTTCATTAAAGTGTGAAATATTATTGGAGTAACAACTGGGAAATACATGAATCAAATAGTGATATCATTCAGAATGTTCACACCACCTCATGACATGATTACCTCTGTTTTCCATTGCAAAGAAATGTCTATAAATCAAATAATATCCTCAGATTTTGAAGTAGCAAATTCATTTAGTCATAGTTCTCTGTACATTCATGGATATAACAAAAACTGGAACTGCTTAAAGCTGTCAATCAAGTCATCTTTAAATGGTTTAAGTGGCAAAGAAATATAATTTAAGATAATTGTTGAAAGCAGTCTTTACGTAGTCTAATTTCTGTTGTCAAATTAGTTAAAACACATTGGACGCTACACTCAACAGGATATCTCAAAAAGCAACAGAAGGGTACAGAGGGATTTGAACTCTTACCCAGCAGTGAGGAGGCCTCCTGCACCAGGCTGACGGTCAGGACATCGTCATACACCGTGTACGTCATGAAGGAATCCGGAACCCCTGGTAGGGAGCTATGGAAAGACCGTAACCTTTATCTAAACTGGTAGGTAAAATAGTCATCATCACAATTGTCACAATGTGTGTGAGTGCCCTGACCTCAGTTTATCCCAGGTCTCCTGACCAAACTTCTCCATCACCAGAGACTGCATGCAGCTGTTGATGAAGCCGTACTGAAGAGAACACACTTCATCTGTTCACCAGTTCCATTCATGTCACAAATTATCAATTTAATAAGTTACACCATCTTTATCTGGACCCATACAAGGCCCTATAAACAGGTCCAGAACCCAAATCTCCTGAGCATTCTCTCATGGATGTGTCATTGTTGCCAGATACAGTATATTACCAATTATTGCAGATTCTGATAGAATACTGCTACATGTTATTGCCACTCAAGTGAAAATGCTTCAAGAAATACAACAACCCTGTTAAGCCTTGGCAACAGTCAAACTTGAGAGAGAAACATAAAGGAGGCTATTAGCTGTACACCTTCAATGAACTGGAAGAGTATAAACTGCTAACAGACAGTAGCTTTTATAACTATGTTAGCTAGCATATTAGCCTGGAGAGCTATACATTCCCCCTAATTTACTTTTATAAGTAATGTGCAATGATTAACCAAATCCCATAGGGAACTAACAGAAGAGTTCAGAGACACAGTGAAGCTACGCTCGCTTTCAAGCTCTTAAAATAGTTATAATCTGAGTTAGCATTTTGCTCATAAGAGTCACTCAGGCTGTATGTAAGCCTTCTTATAGATCATTGTTACATAATGTTGCTTTAATATTGCTGATATGGCTACTGGTAAAATTCACTCAGCAAAAAGTTGTACAAATATTTGCTTACCTTTCATATTTATAACCCTACTCATACAAAAGGAGCCTAATATTTGCACTGTCCATATCAAAATGGAGCAGTACAGGTTTTCATTAGTCTGTGAAAATATGAGTACACTCACCATGTCTGCTGTGTTTGATGATGTCCTGTCGAGTTCTTCCCCTAAAACAGACTTCTTACTCACTCTCTCCTCTTCCCTCCCTCCCCCAGCTATGTTAAAGGCTCTGTCCCCCAAGGTCCAGTGCTTGATCCTGTGTGGAGGGTGGTGTCAGAGGAGGGTGTGGGAAGGAGTGTGTTGGTGGAGCAGGTGGTTGAGGTAGGAGGGGGCCTGGTTTTGGAGGGCTTTGTGAGTGAGGAGGATTTTAAAATGGATTTGTTGAGGGACAGTGGATGTTCTGCAGTTCAGGGGAGATGGGGGGGAAGCAGGGTTCTGGATGTAATGGAGTCTTTTTAGGAGTTTGGATAATGTACCATAAAGGAGTAGTGAAGGCATGGATCAATAGTTTGGCAGCAGTGAACAGTATCTTTTGATTCATTCATCATCACCTCCATGCCCATCCTCATCCAGGTGGTTTCCTGGTTGTGCCCAAATCACCTCAACTAGCTTTTTATACGCAAAGGAGCTCTACTCAGAGTTCCTCCCTGAAGACTGAACTTCTTACCTTACCATGCCAGCCACCCACCGGAGAACACCCATATCGGCCGCTTGCATCCACGGTCTTGTTCTTTCGGTCATGACCCATACTTCATGACAATAGGTAAGGGTAGGACGAAGCTGGACCGATAGATTCAGAGCTTTTCCTTCTGGCTCAGTGGACAGTCCATCGGTTTCCTGCTGAGAACCATGGCCTCAGATTTGGAGGTGATGATCCTCATCCCAGTAGCTTCACACTCTGAAAACCAACCCAATGAGTTCTGAAGGTCACAGCGAAGCAATCCTTAACCAATCACCACAACTACACCTTGAGATCCTGTCCATGAATATCACAAACAGGATTGGGAACAAAGCGAAGACTGGTGAACCTTCAGAGGACCCCGGACACAGCTCTTGCTTCTGAAACAAATCTATTTAGAATTAATACAATGAGTTGCATGAAATCTTTATTCATATGAAAAGTTTTGTCAGGTACCGTATTACAATCAACAATATCAGAAAAGCGCCCTTGCACTTTTGCTAATTGAGCGTACAAATCTTAAGACTCTGTATTGAGGGACTAAAAGGTAAAATCTGCATCTTACAAACACTGTCATTAACAACGTAATATAATAATAGCCATTATGTAATGGGACATGACTCCGTGAGCTCCACTCCGGCTTTAGATGTTCACTCAATAATTGTTATTAGGCTCAGTTTTCTGTTGGCTTTGGTCTTTGTCATGGGATTTGTTGACAATAAGGACAAAATCATTTGTAGTGTTCAGAGCAAGGGTGTCAAACATACACCTGATTTCATGTGGCCTGAGGGAGCTGGCAAAATACAATAAGTTCATGTTAAATCCTGCATGGTTCCCATAAACTACAGGTCCCACAATGCATCTCGTTCTGTGACCTGCACACTGAAGCAGCAACACTCAACAAAATATCCTGCCCTGTCCCCCTCCCTTTCAGGACAGAAGATTAACTACAGTGGCCCTCAGGATCCTGTCGGTTCCTCAGTGGACTCGGGGGGAAAGGTCAGCTAATTATATACATATATTAAGGTTTAAGATAATATTATAAATGATAAATACTACTAATCAGAGTCAACATGTCCCTGTGCAAGATACTGATCCCCAGCAAACTGAATGAAAAAGGAATTGTATTTCTGCTAGTAGATCCCTGTAAATCCTCCACACAGGACCTTTACAGAGGATCTTCACTAGACCTTGGTGAGGTACACTTGTTCATGAGCGCTTAGAATATAAAACAAATCTTCTTACTGCAAGTTGTACAACATTATACTGTAAATGTCTGAACTGACCCGATTTGTCAGAGTAAATGCTGGGGGAGCAGGGAGAATAGTGTTCAGCAGCAGTATCACTGGCAGTGTTTGCAGGGGGAACATGGAGAGATGAGTTCAAGGTCATAAGACTCCTGTGGGTTGGTCACATGGTCTGTGGGGAACATCTTCACTAATTCTTTATCCATGCTTCCTGGGAAAACCATGTCTTTTAATCCAACTGAAGAGCAGAACATTAGTCAGCACCTGTCACTGTCTCATATATGGTGGGGGGGGGGGGGGGCTTTGGTGACACTCAAAAGCTTAAATGACATTCAATACATGAAAAAGCACGATGTGGCTTCCTCCACTACATTACATAAATATAATCTTTATTCTGCTTTAGAGGTTAGTTCCATAAAATGTTAAAGCCTCTGGTAAGACAAACATGTTGTTAGGAGGCCACAGATAAATACAGTCTGTAACAGAGAAACAGCCCAGCTTAGCTAGACTCAGGTATCAGTCAGTTGATATGCTACTGTATCATACATGTTATCATACATACTTACATAGATACATGCCTCCACTTTAATTAATGGAAACTCCTCATATACACATTAGCACTCCTGTCAGTGAAGAACCTGATGATGAAATGTACATTTTGTAGAAATCTACTCTGAAGCCAGTTCTCAAGTGTCCTGGGCTGAGAGCAATACTGTAGGAATTAGAATACTGTATAAATAAGTCACGAGTGAGGAGATGATGGACCGGGTTGAAGTGTGATTTAAAAAACACTTTCTGTCCCACAACTGAAGAGAGAATAACTCCTCTGTGTGTCTATGTGGAGAACAGGGGGCCGGTGGAGGCAGCAGTGAAGACGGGGCCCGTGTAGAGTCCTGGTCCGTCAACAGGAACCTAGGGACACAATAAAACAATCATGGATGTATAAAGAGAACTGGATACAGCGTCAGAGGCGGGACTACGTTTAGGACCATCAGAGTAGCTCAGTGGCGCATGAAGACAAAATGGCCTGACTCTCGAGAGCAAAATAACTGGTATCTGGGCCCATAGTGAGTCCTCATCTGGGTTTTTCCTTAAGCCCCGCCTCCCATCACCCGCTCTCGGCTCAGTCAGGTGAATGTGGAGGGAAAATAACTCTGGATTTTACAACTTTTAGAGTCCAATGATTTAAATAAGGGATGTAAAGGGCTTATTTTTTATTTTTTTAAATGATACGCTGATTTAGTTTAAATACAGAAGGAACTAAGCTAAGACACTGAAATAACTCGTACCGCTTACAGCTGTTATAGATCAACAGAACTTTAGGAGCAGTGGGGGGGTTTCAGTTCAGGCGAAATGGCACCACTCTAGTTACCAGTCCACACTTAATTGGTCCAATTGTAATTGTCTTTCTACACATACTGTGAAATAACAGTTAAACCTGGGGGGGTTATTATCATTATCAACATTATTTGAATGTACCTCTCCCAGAGCCTGCAGAGCGACGGTAGCTGCCATGGCCTTGGCGTGTTTCTTGTTGGGACTGGCAGTCTGAGGCTGGTAGTCCACTCCATTCACTGTGACCTGCACACAACACAACATACGGAAAGGGTGTTAGGAAATAACCATCCGAGGATATATCAATCAGAACAAACGTAAGAAAAGGGGAGGGAATCAAACCGTACGTACATATATTGACTTAAAACACTTTCCCAGCTTACTGTTGCTGTTTTAATCTTTAGAGCACTCAACAAAGCTGGCTCAGAACGACTAAGAGAGGACTCACCTTGAACAGGAAGTTCTTGCGGTGGTCCGGCCCGCTGTGATGGACCATCACAAAGTCCGGCTGCATCACTCGCGTCTTGTTACACAGCTCGATGAGAGCGGACACCGGGTGCTTCCCTGTGGCAGCAGAGGAGAGGAGAGAATGACACTGACACACACACACACACTAGAGAGCATTGAAGCAGAGGAGTTGATTTGAAGAGTTTACATTGACGTTGATCAGCGCTATCAGATCAAATGGATTATAACCGGGCGGTTACAGGTCATCATTTCTACGGGAGAGGATTGGAATATTTTTCTATTTTTAACATTAGGAGTTTTTCCTTGTCCGATGTGAAGGTCTAAGGACAGAGGGTGTTGTATTTGTATTCTCTATAAACTTTAAAGCCCCCTGAGACAAATGTAACATTTTTGATATTGGGTTATATAAATACACTTTGATTGATAGATTGATTGAGATCTAACCCAAAGTGAATTTATTTTTTAGTAAGGAGATTAAAGTCAGAAAAAACTCAAAATGCTGACTTTCTTTTCTCAGAAATCTGTTTTAAGTTGCCTTTAAACATTACATTTGCCTTCTCAGTGGGCAGCTTACAACGATAACCGAAAAAGAATTGTTATATTTTGAACCTTTGTATGATGTCTTCTGTAATTTCCAGATGATACAAACACTGTGTCCATGTATAATATTTGTATGTATTGTTTTAAAACCTTTTTTTTCTTGCAGCTGATTTGTAAATCACTTGTAATGCACTGTATGAATGAATACATAGTATGTCAATGCAGTATGCTACAAATAATTCTACAGCACCAGGTTTGCAAGCCACCATGATATCTGACTATTGTTTACCCACAATCCTCTGCACAGACCCATGGTGGAGTCAGCCTCCAACTCGGTCATTGTCTCACAGATCATGTTTTCTGTAAGCTAATGCTAACATAGCATTACATCAGACAGCTGTTCTGATACATCCTCATTAAACATCTGGAGGTGCTGACACTAGTCCTTTCGGAGCCCTCCAGTAAATCGGATGTTACGTTAGCTGACCTAATTTTAGTTTTCACACATTGTCTCAGCTGTTCTGTTGCTGCTTCTTGTCTTTATCTCAGCGTTTTGTAATTTAATCTTTAAATCTGTCCAGACCTGGTAATGTCAGATACAATTACAGGAGACCTGATTTACTAACCAACAGCTACAGTGTGTGAGGCCACAGAGGCCTACAAGTCATCAAGCAATTAGGAGTTGTCTAATCGTCCATCTTTGATATTATTGTGTAGTCTTTATTTGCTGATGAAGACTGTGATACATACGTCACGTCATAATTCACATGATATATTCATATGTGATAAGTGTGTGCTGTGAGTCCTTTACCCATCAGATCCTTGGTGACCACGAGCCCCCCCGTCTGCTTCTGGGGCTTCTCTCCTTCAGCCACCAGTCCTGAAACACACACACATAACATCATGTGATTCACAATAGGCAGATGGAATGTATGTAAAGACAGAAGTGTGATACACTATTTACCACATCATATCAATAAGGAGACATTATTAAGTTGTGGAGACTTTATTGAGGAATGAATCGTTCCTCGAATTGGCTGATGGGGGAGAGATGTTAAAGTGCTTTCTGTTAAAAAGGAAAATATCTATTTATAACTGAACCAAATCTAAACAGTTTAGGATCCATACATATAACACCTGCTCTCACAAACAAAATGGATATGAATGCATCTCCACTCAGCAGTAAATGTAACTCTGAAACGGGCGATCTTATACACTGTTTCTGGTCATGTGTACAACGCTACTGGTCTGTTATTGTGAAGGAACTGTGTGTTATTGGTTTACCAATAGAGTTAAACCCTATGTGCCTCCTGCCTGGTCTTCCAGAAGGTTATAGTACAAACATCAAACACAGAGGCTATTTCATCTATTGACTCTAGCTGCTAGGACATTTTCTTTGCTGTTTTGGATTAAGGATGTTGATCTGATAAATAAATGGTGGCATAATCTTGTATGTAACCGAGTGTATCCCTAACGAATACATCTCATGTATGCTTCATTCTTCAGTGGACCTTTCCATAAAGTATGGGGCCCTTACTTGGACCACATTTGGCCCACACTGTAATCAAATGTGTGTAATAGATGTGTACCACTTGGTTGTTGCTCCAGTGTTTTGGGCCTCTCACCTTTGCGGTCGACCTTGAAGTCAATGATGATCGGTTCCACGGTCCCCTCACGGTTCCTCCCGAGACCCTCTCCTGTCCTCCAGCCCATCTTTCTCATGAGGAACTCCCCGACCCCCCCGGACACTGGAGCTGCCCTGAGGAACTGATCCTGAATCAGACACAAAGAGACAGTGAATAACAGCAGGAATGTAAGACACAAAAGAATCATCTGTGGAGGTGAGAAAGGCAGAAACCTCCACACAGGGATACACATATATACATTTTTTTAAACATCAGTCAGGTTTGTGTTTGTCCTCTTAGTGCACATCTTACTTTCTTCAGCCATGCTTGTGGTCCGCTGGTGGACAGCTCCTCTGAGGTGAGGACCGTGGCTCCAGTGGAACCGGTGAACAGGCCAGGCACAGTGTTGGATTGGGCCCACGCATCCACCTGAAACAGGACATTTCCATCAGAACAGAGGTATATCCAATACTCTAATCAAGCAGGTAGTCTGGGAAACAAAAGCAATTGATGACTGTTACATGTCATGAGGTACAATTACGGTCCCCCCCCCCTACCCCATTCCAAAGATGATGAAAGTCAATGTGTTTTGGTTGTTATCCTGATATAAGGTCAGAGGTTAACACAAGATTAAAACGTTTTGGTCCTACGACATAAAATACGTTAGTAAATACACCACTGGTGAATAAAAAAAAATGGTGGTTGCTACCAAGTGTCTAAATGAGACGTTTAAACGTCAACCCGCCGAACATTAGCCGCCTTTAGCTTAGCGGTGCTGTAGTTCCTTTATAGCCTAACGTTAGCTTTTGACTTCAAAAATCATAAAGTGACGTTAAAATGTGGAGATTATCCTGCTGTCGACTCATGGTTTGTGTTTCTTTAGTCATTATGTTGTTCTGCTTTGGCAACACTCGTTGTTTACCATTAATGGTACTTGAATGTTATTAAATGTTAGTTATAGGAGTGTGTGTACTACATTTTTGTATTTTACCTGCTCTTGTGCCCGGCTGAGCATGCAGATGGCATTGACATCATAGGGGTTCTCAGCCAATCGCCTCTGAGCTTTGATTCTGTCCGTCACAGCCTGAGAGATATCTACTGGCTACAGAGAGGGAAGGGGAGAGACAAACAGCATGAGTGGGAGAAAAAGGGGGAGGGTCAGTCTGTTAAGAATGTGACATTCTGAAAATTAAAATGAAATTCTGAAAATAAAATAAATGATATATATAATGATATAATGTAATAGTATATGATTGGAAACTGAAAGTGTAGAAAATCGGTCATTCTTTGAACGGGTGAAAGCATTTGTTCAACTAACATAACCTAGAAAACTACTTTTTTAAAGCATTGACAAACACTGAATGTTTTTTTTGTGAATGACGTTGAACAAGGCAAATTAAACGCAAGCTCTCCCTTCAGAAAATTATTATAGCACAGTATCATATTTCCCACATTATAGATAAGTAGTCTGGTAAAACGTACTCTCATTCTTGAGTCTTGAGTAAAACAGTGTTTTCCTAGTTAAACTGTCTTCTGATCTTTCCCCTAGTTACCATGTGCCTCAGACTCACTGCTACAGAGTGAGGTAAACACAATGCAGTAGTACCTGTCTGCTTATAATACAAAATGTTTTAAAATGTACACACAGTATATTGTATATCTTATACACACACCTGCAGCAGGGGGTCAGGGAACACGCTGTCAGAATCTGTCACACTCTGCTCCACCGCCTCTGCTGACTCTGCTGCTGTCGCCGTGTCAGCTGATGACGATGATGGGGATGCTGTTGCCTTGGAAACGGTGGTCAGGGCCTTTCTGGCGGCAGCTGCAGCTTTCTCTGATGCCTTGTCCACAGGAACCCATTCTCCATAGGCCCCAAGTCCCTCGCCCTCCTAATGAGAGGCACACATTAGATTACCCACAAAGCATCAGGACATTGTTTTACCTAGACTTTTATATACTGTTATGAGATCAAATCTAATGTCTAAAATCTAACCTTCTTCCGATGTTGGCACCCTGAGGACACAGGAAACTCCTTGGCCATTCCCGCGTCACTGCGTACTGCTGGACGCACTGTGGCGTTCTGGGGGGGGGGGGGGGGGGGGGACGACGACAGAAAATGTTAACTGTCTTTGTTTCATCCAATGAGTTACATCATCAGTACTGAAAATTATCAGGACTTACTCTTAATGAAAAGTGGCTAAATACAAAAAGTCAACTAAATGTCGCTTGAAAGGGTTTGCCTGAGGTGTTTCCATGACACATCAGCTGTTAGTTTCCATTACATTGCACAACAATTCTGATCTGATTATAAAATACAAAAAATAAGCAGCAAGGGACCATCTCCTGTTCTGCAGAATAACTTCAAACGTCTGTCAGTGTTAAATGAAGAGCTGTCTTGACACTGACAGCTGACCTCTCTGTCTTGCTTCATAAATCAAGTTATATCTTGTGTGACCATTCGTGTTTGTTTAATGTGCTTTCTTTTAAATTCCCTTCAAAGTGGAATCCAACAATAACATATATATTGCAATAATGGGGCAGAACATGCCTTTCACTTTACAATTAGGGAGTGATGTCATTGTAATATATATATTTGCAATGTAATGGGAAAAATAGGGGTAATAATACGGCAATATGATGCAAAAGGCATTATATGTTTTCACTCAAATAAAATGATGTTAGAGTAAAGTTATTTTCAGTTATAATGTAAAGTGCTAATCCCTAAACGTCTTGACCACACATTTGAACACATTTACAACAAGAGAAACTTCCTTTTCATAGGAAATGCGAACATATAGACAAGTGTGTGGATTGTTACGTTGATGCTGAAGCTGATGGCCTTCTGTTCTCGAAGTGCTGACCCTCCGAAAGGTTTCCCATCATCCTCTTCATCGGACACATGTGGTATCGCCACCGGCAGCTCTCCTTTACTGTCCACGATCATCTTGCATTTCTGAAAAACACACAGCAATTTTAGTCTCCACCACACAAGGATTAAATAGTTCCACGTGTTGCTACATGCTCCACAGGGAACCTTTGTGAGCACTATGCACATTTAAACAATGCACATTTAAACATTAAGTTTCAACCTCAGACTTTTATACTTGAGTGGAAAATTAGATAGATAGATACTTTATTAATCCCAAATTGGGAAATTATTTTGTTACAGGACCCGTGTGCTCAACATTCAAATACTTAAAAAGTGGAGTTTAAAAAAAATAAATAAAATAAAAAATAGTATATCAAATATAAACAATATCAAACATTCTGGATAATTAAAATGTTTTTTGAAAAAGGTCAAAAATACATTATATTTAAAAATAAACAAATTCTCCAAATATACAGGAGACGTGCATTTTTATTTTAAATACAAGAACCCTTAGTACACTGAATAAGAAATGAACTTCACATTATTAACCGCCAGTCTGCTCACAGTTGACTGTCATTATTGGCGGCTAATAAGCCTAAAATAAATTAAACAACCCTTTAAAGCTAGCTATAGAGAGACTTAACAAGATGATATTAAATTCATATATCATTTTTTTCAGGCTTGTTATCAAAACACAGTGAGTTTAAACGAGGGAACAGGAAGAGGTAAAAAATGCTGACTAGACCCCATTTACACGGGAGCGCAAACGCAAATGGACCGAATTCGTTATCAAAAAAGTCTTCCGTTCACACGCATTCGGCTCATTTAACGTGTCCGTTCACACGAGACCACTGGAGACGCTGGAGAGGCTGTAGTACACATGCCGGGCCTGTAAGTGGCGCTGTACTTCTGCCACAAAATACACCAAAAGCAGCGAAGAAGACCCCCGAGCATGGTTGCCATGGTTGCCCTTCTGTTTATGCCCCGCGGTGGATTTAGCAACATGTAGTTCATGTAATTCTCCATGTCCACTTGTTGCTGATGGTTGTGGTAGAGGAGATGTAGGTTTTGCACTAACATCTGTAGCATGGTCGAGCTGTAGATTTTGTACTAACATCTGTAGCATGGTCAGTAGCTGTAGCATGGTCAGTAGCTACTGACAGTAGCTACTGACCATGCTACAGCAGTTAGCAGCAGAGGTGGGGAGAGGTGGGGCTATGGCTTCATCGTTATCAGGAAATGATCATATAGGACGTACACACTGAGCCGTTTGGCCCCCCAGAGCGTTCCGTTTGCAGATCTATCCACCTTGGGACCCGTTATCGTTTGCGGTGTCCGTTTCCGCGGTTCCGTTACGGCCTCGCGTGAACGAACGGGCTATACGCGAGAGAAAAGTAGCAGATACAACCTGTTACGTTCTCGTGTAAACACCGCCTTATTCCCAGGTTTGAGGACTCATTCCTTATCCACTCTATGATCTTAAAATGTTCCGTCGTTTGGAAGTGTCCTTGGGAAAGATACTGAACCCTAAATTGTGGCAGTTGGTGTATGTAGGTCGCTTTTTTGTTGTTGTTGTTGAGTACTTAATGAAACCACATGTTAGCTATAAAGTAGTTATTCGATTATTCTCTTCACTTTTATCCCCATTAAAGCACACTTACGTCAGTGAACTCCTTGATGCTGATGCTGTTGGCCTGCTTGGCTACTTTCCTCTTCACTTCCTCTAAAGCAGCAGAGGTGGGTTGGTTGGAGCCAGAGGGGGGCTTGTTGGTGATTGAGGGCAGGGCGAGAAGAGAGGACAAGCCCATGTTAGTCAGCGCCGCCGTCATGGTGGCTGTAGGGAGGACGGGGACACAGAGACAGACAACCAGCCAATGACAAACAAATCTCACTCAAGTGAGTGTCATTCAGAAGAAGACATACAAAGCAACGATCATCATCCTGACAGCTGACTTCTCTGTCTTGCTTCATAAATCAAGTTATATCTTGTGTGACCATTCGTGTTTGTTTAATGTGCTTTTCTTTGTGGAATCTAACAATAATATATATATATTACAATAATGGGGCAAAACATCATAATTATCATCATAATTCACAATAACACACATTTCTGACTACCAGGCTCAGATGACATGATGACCAGAGGAGGAAAAAGTACTCAGATCTTGTACTTGAGTAAAAGTAGAAGTACCAGAGTGTAGGAATACTCTGTTACAGTGAAAGTCCTGCATTCAAAATATTACTCAAGTAAAAGTAGAAAAGTATTCTCATCAAAATATAGTGAAAGTAGCGACAGTAAAAGTAGTCATTGTGCAGATTGGTCCATTTCAGAATAATATATATGATATGTTTTATAATGATTGATCATGAAAGTGTTCTCAAAGCTGGTAAAGGTGCAGCTAGTTTGAAGGACTTTGTATACTGCAGGGTAGCTTGTGGATTTACTCCAGGTGGAACTAAAGTCTGATTTAACACTTGATTATATTTCACATCATTCATCCACATCTGTAAAGTAACTAAAGGGATTAAATACATGTAGTGGAGTCAAAGTACACCATGTACCTCTGAACTGTAGTAGAGAAGTACAAAGTAGATTAAATACTCAAGTAAAGTATCTCAAAATTGTATATACTTGGAAAATACATTTCATAAATGTATTTAGAGCTGAGCCAATATACTCCTCCACATAAGATCAATGAGGCTAAACCAAAAAAAACCCTCTCTTGAAAGTTTCAACCAAATCTGATTGAATGAAGTCATCCCAGTTGATGGATTAGTTATTCCAAAAAAGAATGCATTAAATAGAAAAACTCCTACCAGCGGTCATACTGGCCATAGCAGCATTCATGGCTATACCATGAGGTAGAGTGAGGGGGGGCACTGTGGACCTCAGGCTGGCAGGGATGGGCAGTCCTGCTTTGGCACACATGGCTGCAGCGTTGGCTTTGGCTATTTCCAACAACTGCTCTTTATCTGAGAGACACAAAGAAGAGACAACGTGTTTTAACATCCATTCCATTATATTTAGATAAATACTTGTTTACACACAAATACAAACTTCGTAGAGAGCAGATTTGACAAAGGTAAGCAGGATATTACTTATGATATTATGCAGTGGTGTAAAGTAGCCTAGTACACTTACTCAAGTAGTGTACTTAAGTTAAAGATGTGAGTATTTTCACATTTAGCTATTTTACTACATTGTGTTTTACTCACTTCATTTATTTTACATATTTACTAACAAGTTACAGATTTAGATTATAATACAAAACATAAAATACATCATTATAAATTAAGCTAGCCAGTGTGTGTTGAATAATTAAAATAAACACCACCTTTACTAAGTGCAACATTGAAGATATTTAAACATGTATACATGATTAACTAGTATACAAGAATATAAAATAAATGAGTTCTTATTTGTGCCATTCTGCATGATGAGTACTTTTACATTTCGTATTAAAAGTATATTTTGATGCTGATTTTGTACTTTTATTTAAGTACAATTTGGAATGCAGGACTTTTACTTGTAACTGAGTATTTTTACACAGTAGTACTGCTACTTCTACTCAAGTAAATAATCTCAGTACTTGTTACACCTCGGATTATGTAACCGTAAGTGTCATTTTCAAATTATTCCAAACACTGATCAGACCAGAGTGGCTGAAATAGAACACATATTCACTTAATAAATCAAAAATGCTAATGAATCAAAACTCCTAACGGCACTACAGTGAGTGTATGAGGTGTGTTCTGACCCAGTTCACTGATGCGCTGAGGGCTGTTGCTGGAACTGCACAGTTTCCGGTTGGGGGACCTATTTTTGCGGAGGATGAGCACAGGGGAGTGACTCGGCTCTCGTTTCCAGCGGTCCCTCTGGCTGTACGTAGGCCTCCTCCGACCCCGGGACGGAGACGGGGATCGAGACTTCCGCGGCCGCCGGCCCCCTGACCTGCACACAAAATATCCGGTTCAATTCCTGTGCAGAGGAGAATACCATCTAACATAATGTGAAGGCTTCCTATAGCAAGACTCCTCCAGTATATCCCTCCTTGTTCTTTTCTAGAAATGAGTTGGACAGCTGAAGTTTGTAGGTCCTTTCACAAAGACTCCCCTGATTGGCTGATGGAAAGCAATGACTTGTAGTGGATTTGCATGGACAACATTTCAGTGAAGATGAAAGATAGGATGACAGTTAGCTCTTGCACATCTAAGAGCAGGGAAAAATGGATTTGGGGGTAATTTGATGCCCCTGACGCAACAATCATGTCACTTTTCAATGTTGGACACACTAATAAACATCTAGTGTGTTAGGATTTCTTAAGCCCAGAGACAAGGATAAACTGAAAAGAGTACAAGGAAGCTTATAAAAGTTAACGGCATTTAATTAAACAAATAATGCGATGATACACAATGAAATTTGCGAGTTGGTGGCTCCCCCCCTCCCAGCTGTTGGTCCCGTTCGCGTTGGGGCAGCAGAGGGTGAAGAAGAGATCGATTCTCCCTGTCCATCACGGGTTATCAACTGTAGTCTTCTCCTATTGGCCGGCGTCGACGGGTCCAAGGCAATTCCTGTCGTTTTTCTGGTGTTAAATTACATCATTCTAATGTCTGTGGTTATTTAAACATTCCCTAATAACAGTATTGCAGCGTCAATAAATGAGTGTTAAAGACAGTGTGTTTAGTGTACAACACAACATGTAATTTCACCTTCAATTCACGGTTTCAAAACGTAACATTAGCCACATGCTAATGCTAACCGGAAATGAATAATTTTCAGAATAAAGGTTTTAAATTAAAAGTGTGTGAACTTCCGGTTTTTCTGAATAAAACAGCTTTAATTATAAGAATATATTTAATCTAAATTACGCCATATAAACATTGATTTTAATTTCTTACAAGTGCCAGTAAAATATACACTGTGACAATCACTGGGTACTGTGCCTGCTCAATAATATAACCATATGGTAGTTTCCATTCGCAGAAGATGTACAAATAATGATACGAAAGAATATAATTCTTAATATCGCTAATGCTATGCTAATATTGTGCCTGTCAGTGTTCAACAGGGCCAGGTTAAAGTGAGTACAGTCAACCGGATTGTGTGTTATCACAATTATTATGAGTAATCATAATAAGTATTATATTATAATGTAAATGAAGAAGGCTTCATAAAAGTCACGATATGGCATGTGGATTTATTTCCATTTTTTATTTGAGACAAATATGTCATACAGTTATTTTGATTAGCTAAATGTATGTTTAAATTAAGAACAAAGAATGATTAGATAAATAGAGAGAACAGATATCATTTGTAAGTGAATGTATTAATGTGTTTAATAAATTCTGGCTAGAACGACCAGACAAATGGCAACACACCCGGCCCCCCATAAATCAAGTTCGTAAAGTTACACACGTAGATTTATTGACAATGATCTTTAACGCAAATGGCCCAGTCTGATCCCAGTTCAGTTTCCAAAGGGTAGGTGCAATAGGAAATGCAATACTGTAAGATTGTAATAATATAGTCTTTTTCAGAATGACATTTGTTGGGTTCACGCTAAAGGTTGTTAGCTCTAATAGCACCTGGATAAAAGGAGATCTGGATAAAGAGAATCCCTGTCACTCTACCTGGACCGTGACCTCCTGTTCTTCGAGGGGCTCCTGGATCTGGACCCCCTCCTGTGGCTCCTGCTTGGTGATGGAGATCTTTTCTGCCTTTTGGAGGACTTTGTTTCTCTCTTCCTCTGTGGGGATGGTTTCCTCCTCTTCTTCGCTGGTGATTTCACTAAAGTGTCCGAGGGCCGGGGGGATTTTGGTGCAGCGGTCTGCTCAGCTGAAGTGGACGTGGACGTGGATGTTCCAGAACCTGCAGCTTTGGCATTAGAACACAACATCCATTAATTAGACATCTCATCATAATCAGAAGTGTTCCAGAGGCTCTTCAGGATCTACCTGGTTTTCCTCCGTCTGCTTTCTCTGCTTTGTTCTCCCTCCGGTCAGAGTTCTGCCGCTCTTCTGCTTTGTTCTCCCTCCGGTCAGAGTTCTGCCGCTCTTCTGCTTTGACGGCACTCTGAGTCGGGTTTGAGTCCAGCGGAGGAGGGTTGGGGTCTTTTGAAGAACCGTGGGAGGACTGTATGGATTCATGGTGAGCTCCCCTCTTCTCTGAGGATCTACAAAAGACAAGGAAGAGCTCAGTCAATGTACCGTGTAAGGGCAAAATATCCTTTAGGTGAAGATTAGGGAAACGTTCCAAACCAAAAAACACCATGATTATAAAAAAGCCCACTTCCATCAATCTGAATCAGTATTGAGCATATGTCATGTCATCCAATAGCTGTTGACATGTTTATACTTGACTTCATTGGCACATTAATCATGCAAGATGATCGGGAAATATTGTATTTCTACTCTGTTTCTTCTTTTTAAATGTGTTTTATAGTAGCTATCACTAGGAATTGGGGTAAGGAAGCACCACGTACGAAAACCCGGTAACAATTGTGGAAGAAATCTTTTTTGATGGAAAAACTGACTTAAAAAATTGGAGATTACAAGAAACACAACTCCACAGAAAGTTGGAAAATTGGACTTAAAACAAATACATTTGACTGGAACAATAGCTAACAGATACATGCATCTTTAAGACTATAATCATATGAAGGATATCCCTAGCCTTTTATTTAATTTTTAATTTGTATTGCCTTGCTGGCCTTTTGTTACATGATTGTTATGTTGTTGTAACCACAGTGTTAATGCCATGTATATTGTGACAAAAACGATTTAAAAAATAACATTTGTTTTATAACCTTATATGATGTTGCCAGAGGTGGGAAGTAGTGGAGTACAAATACTTTGTTACTGTACTTAAGTACATTTTTCTGGTATCAGTACTTCACTCCACTACTTATTTTTCTGACGACTTTTTACTTTGACTTCTTACATGTTGAACACAAATACCTGTACTTTCTACTTCTTACATGTTGAACACAAATACCTGTACTTTCTACTTCTTACATGTTGAACACAAATACCTGGACTTTCTACTTCTTACATTTTTAACCCAAATACCTGTACTTTCTACTTCTTACATGTTGAACACAAATACCTGGACTTTCTACTTCTTACATGTTGAACACAAATACCTGTACTTTCTACTTCTTACATTTTGAACACAAATACCTGGACTTTCTACTTCTTACATGTTGAACACAAATACCTGGACTTTCTACTTCTTACATGTTGAACACAAATACCTGTACTTTCTACTTCTTACATGTTGAACACAAATACCTGTACTTTCTACTTCTTACATGTTGAACCCAAATACCTGGACTTTCTACTTCTTACATGTTGAACACAAATACCTGTACTTTCTACTTCTTACATGTTGAACACAAATACCTGGACTTTCTACTTCTTACATGTTGAACCCAAATACCTGGACTTTCTACTTCTTACATGTTGAACACAAATACCTGAACTTTCTACTTCTTACATGTTGAACACAAATACCTGTACTTTCTACTTCTTACATGTTGAACACAAATACCTGTACTTTCTACTTCTTACATTTCCCAAACAGGCTGGTTCCTTTAGTTTGAATGTGTGTTTGGTGGCGTGATCATTATTATTTAGAGTCATTGCGTGCCTATTGATTTGAACACGATCCGTGTATCCATCATTTCCTGGTCTTCTCTAAAGAAGAGGGACCAATGAAAACGTTGTCATGTTGCCGTTGTTCAGCATGGAAACATTCATTAGCTAACAATGACATTAATGTTCTATTAATATAAAGGGAGGTCAGCTACTCTTTAAAACAGCTGGTAGTTATGGGTACTTTTTACTGAAGTACATTTCAAAGCTTTACTTTTACTTGAGTAAAGAAGTTTAGTCAGTACTTCTACTTTTACCAGAGTATTTTAAAATCCAGTATCTGTACTTCTACTTGAGTAAAGGATGCGTGTACTTTTGCCATCTCTGTATGTTGCATTGTTGGAGGAGCCTTGGACTTCAGATTTTCTTTGACATAACTACAATTGAGCTAACACAACTGTGGTGAAAATGACCTTAAAATAAATGAATCTTCACTATTCTATAACGTTTGGCAAGTTGAGATCAACACATGATGTAACGACTTGGAGGAAAATAAAGAAATGACATTAGACAACAAGGCAGGAAGATGAAAGGTTAGGTCATCCGTACCTGGACCGGGTCCTGTGGCGGTGTGGACTGGACGGGGAGCTGGTCCTGGATCTGGGCCAATGGTGTCTGGAGCGGAAGTTCCTCCTCACGGAACGGGAATGTGAGCGTGACCGGGAACGAGAACTCCTCCTGCCGAGGCCCTCCTGACCTAGTGCTTTTTTGGAACTGTCCTGTAAAGAAGGGAGACGTTTGTCACACACTCGTTCCACCAACAAGTCCATATATAAGACTTGGTTCAAGTCTTAAGATCAGCATTATAGCTACTGGCTGGCTATTATCCAGAAAAAAAGTGTACTCTTAAAGAAAAGTAGTTTTTTCCCCCCAGAATTCTTTACATTTACTTTGTGACATCTTTAATCAGACACCAGAAATGTGTGAATCCTTCTGAATTCAAATGATTTTTAAGCTAGCGGTCCAATTACACAAAGCTCTTATACTTATGTTTTATTGTTTTACATCTTAATTGATGAAGTCTTGATGTGATATCAACATGTTTACCTGTTTAGGAATAATATCAGGCAGCTCCACTCGCCGCCTTGGTGACACGCTTTGACCCCCTTCCCTCTGCTTGGACACCACTTCTGAATCTGAGGAGTTGTCGTCATCTTTCCTGCTTCTCTTCTTCTTCTTCTTTTTCTTTTTCTTCTTCTTCTTCTTCTTCCCTGATGAGTGCCGCTTGTGGCCTCTGGACTTGTTCTGGTCTTCCTCACCTGGACACACAATGCAGCAGCTCTGTGCCAGTACAGCATGTTTCGTACGACTGGAATTACTGTGTGTGTGTCTTAAAGGGACCGTTTGAATAAGGAGATGAGGTACTTATGCATAGTCAATGCAGTTACTGCACAGAAGCAAAGCACTGTACACTTACTATGGACGGGGGCAGCGGCAAGACATATTTTAGCTCCTCTAAGGTAAAAGCTAATCAGTTGTAGTGTATAGCTGCTTTCACACCAAGTACTTTGCAGCACTTAGTGCCCAGCACTTAGTGCCCAGCACCCAGCACTTAGTGCCCAGTTGGGGACTGGCTTCAGTAGAAGCTGCTGGGAGTCCCAGCAGCTTCTACTGAAGCCTTCCGAGTAAATCGCCAGAACGCCGACACCTCCTCATCTCCACCGCTCCCACGTTTTATTTTGTGTACCATAAGTTAGTCTCTCTCCGTTGGTGCGCTGGGCTAATGCTAATGCTAATAATGCTAATGCGAGCAAATAAAATGGCGGCTTTACAAAACTTTTCAGAGTTTTACGGGGCGTGGTTTGCAATCCGCCCAGCCAATCAGAAATTGGAACTTTTTTATCCCCAGGATAGTACCACCTCTCTAGCAGGCACTGAAAAGGGGGTAAAAGTTCTCATGAACTAAGTTCTCTTTTTGGTGTGAACGCAAAATCCCAGGAACTATCGGAACTAAACAGGAAAAGTACGGGGAAAAGTACTCCGGTGTGAAAGCGCCTTATGTTATATTTAGCAAATGTGCCCTTTAAATCCAACAGGCACCTTTTGAAATAAACTCTATTATAATTCACAGAACACAGGAGTTCCTGGCCGGCTGATGCCTACATGTGTTGTCTGTTTGTGTTATTTGTGTGACCGCAGTGTATGACATGTTAGATGGATTCACCAAAGTCAGACTGATTGATGGAGGCAGCGGAAAGGGCTGTTTGGCGTACCGGTAAACAGTGAACATGTGCTAAAAATAGTGTACACTTAAACTAATATTCATTATTTTAGTCTTCCTTTCATTTGGCTTAAATACATTTTGTTGCTCCCCACTTCCAAAGCAGTACATTGCTTAACCGCTGTGCAGATTCTGCAACATATGGGGGTGCTGACCCCCCCACTGTGGTAACACACTGACTTTGATAAGCACCTCATACAGCACCACTTCCAAACTATCCCTTTAAGAGGTGGTTGGTTTGATAAGACACATAACATGATAACCAATCGAACATATCAACACTGTATCAAATTCTCCATGAAAAGGGAATTTGACACATGTTTGTATGAATGATGTACATTTCAATGATTAGAGACTTACCTTGCTCCTTGTCTGCCTCTGTTGGTGTCCCTTTTCTGCGAAACAAAGATACAACCCTGGGTTAGGAACATTTAAAAAAGGGTCAGGTCCAGTCGCAGATAATATCCCAGAGAGTAACTACCGTAGATCGAACATGACTTTAACATTTGTAGTACGATACGCACTTTAAGTATGAATTATGAACTTAAATAAAAAATTAAGTATACATAACGTTGCAATTACGTATCTGCCACTAGGTTGTTTTGCACTACTCAATACTGCTCATCACTGAACAGTTTTTTACATTAATTATTTGACCGTCTATGTTTCCTGTAGTAGTATTTAATTGCTCTTTTTACTGCACTGTCAGTGTACAGTTGTATTATTATGCTGCTGTGTTTATTGCATTTTTGTAACTCTGGCACAACCATTTCCTTCGGGATGAATAAAGTCCTATCTTATCTTATCTTTTATAACTAAAGTATGGTTTACAGGTTAGCACCACTACACTATGTTAGAATAACTTTGTGATTAAAAATAACATCAGCTGTGTGTCGTTTAAAGAACTGTCATTTGTGTTTACTTGCACAGGTGTTAGTGCTCTTAAATAGTGACAATAATGACTATCAATCAGCCATCAGAGGTGGGCTTACTTTCTATAAAGGTGAATTCATGGAAGTGTTATCAAAAATGTCTTCTGACCTTGGCTGGAGTTTGGTTCCTCCGTCCTCCTCCGGCCCGGACTCGGAGCTGCTCTCCTCCTTCTCACGGTACTTCCTCTTCTTCTTACTTTTGTGTTTTTTGTGCTTCTTGTGTTTCTTTGGTGAGCCGCTGCACTTTACATTATCCTGTTTGTCTCTCTCTGAAGACTCTTGTTCTGCTCCGAACTGTTCAGTGCCATCTCCCACTCCTTCAGGGGAACTAATGGACACACAGAGAAAAGATGTGATTTAGTTGCATCTGTTAACACTATCCAACACAGCATGATTATTAAATGTCCAATAAGGATATCTAATAGTGACTTAAGAGGCTTGTCTCAAGAAGAGTTTACTTAATAGATGTTATGACTTAATCCCAGATTAGACACTATCTGACAAGATTAGGTTTATCATAATAGGTTTAGCATATGGGCTAACTGCTCAGAAAGTCGAATGCCTGGAGAGTTTTAAAAAGTATATCTGTACACGAATAGTTGATGAAGTTATGCATTTCTTCCTCTCTAAGGAAGCCTGTTGACAGCCAATCATCCACTTTGTAGGTAAACTTGTTGACACAGAATCCAGTGGTGTAAAGTAACTAAGTACATTTACCTGAGTATTTAAATGTGTTGCTACTACAAAATTCACAAGCTACCCTGCAGTTTACAAAGTCATTAAAACTAGCAGCACCTTTCAAGGTTCAAGGTTCTTTATTTGTCATACGAACATAGCTACAGAGTAGTTATGTCGATGACAATCTTAGGTCACAGGCTTCTCCAACAGTGCAACACAATAATACAGAAAAACAGACAAATATAGTGCAAGTAAATATTAAAAAGTAAATACAAAAAGAAAAATAGTTTTAAAAAAAGTGAAATAGTGAAATAAGAGTCTATAACACTTTAATGATCAATAATTATAAAACATATCATATATAATATTCTGACCAATCTGCACAATGACTACTCTACGTTTGGTACTTTAAGTATATTTAGATACATATACTTTTGTTGTTTTCCTTGAGTAACCTAACATAGCTGTCTAATTAGCATAGCATTAGCTCCTGTGCATTGTTTATGCTGTAACTAGAGCAGCAGCCGGCCGCTGTAACGGTAGCATGTTAGCTTAGCGCTGTACAGCAGCTACAGGTTGCTATTTAACTGTTACTAAAGCACAACCATAACACAGCATGCACATACGTTTTGTCTTCATTCTGGTCTTCAATCTCTCTGATTTTATTCAGTATAAAATCCTGGAAAAATTTCTCTATGTTAGCCGCCATGTTTAAATGTGCGTCAAGTTATAGGTCCGGGTAGGAACTGTTTCGTACTCCGCTTAAGTTCCGGGTGGCAAAACGCGTTACGGTGCATTTGTCACATGGCGATGTATTTTGTTATTATTAGTAGTATTAGTATTAGTTTGTATTGCGCGGTTTTTATACTTTTTACTGAGATTTTATTTTGTGCTGTTATTTTGAAATTATGCATTGAATTAATTTGAACTGGTTTTACTTCCTGTTGCATGCTTTTATTTTTGAAATGTTTAGACTGTGACTTTAACCTTTACTTCTGCCATGCTGATTGAGTTTCCACAATTAGAAGCACCTGGAGGCAGTTTGTAGGTCAAATATGGGAAGTAACTAAGTACATTTACTTGAGTATTTCCATTTTATGCTACTTTGTACTTCTACTCCACTACAGTTCAGAGGTAAATGGTGTACTTTTACTCCACTACATGTATTTAATACCTTTAGTTACTTTACAGATTTGGATTAATGATGTGAAATATAATCAAGTTTTAAATCAGACTTAATCTGTAGCTGAACATGAGTAAGGATTAGCATTTCCAAAGTGGAGTGGGTTGAAGAGGATTTAAGATTCCCTCTTGTAAAAAGAAAACCTGTTAAGGCGGGACTAATAACACCTTTACCGAGGGGGCGGGACTAATTCAACTTACCATTCTTATTGGTCGATGTGAATTAATAAGCTTCTATCAAAGCTCCAACCCAGCTTTAGCCTGAGCAGGTGTCTTTTCAGGCAGAATAACAGATAGGTGATCCACACTTTAGATTCAAAGGAGTCTATCTGCATATCACTTCTTTCATTTTCAAATAGAATAGACACTTTCTTACTAAATGGCATCAAAAGCAATGCGTCCATTACTCTCCTGCTGCAAAAAAATGGACCACCATGACATGCCTCTGGACATGGCTCCTCCTAACCAATCAGATGCATGGAAAGGTTCAGTGAAAACTAACTTATGCCTCATGCGTTGGTCAGTTTGAATGGATACAGCTACAGTGTCTCATACAGATATAGCTGTGTTAAGAATAGAGGCAATGATGTTTCCTCAAAGATACAATTCATAAAATAAAATCAGAAATCACAACTGTAGAAATATCTCCTTGGCATTTATTGTTATGCCAGCATTGAAATCCAGATTTGGTACAGTACAAGGCTATCCAGTATAACTGAGATCTAGGCAACAGTGATGGTCCAACAACAGTCACTCAAACTGCATGTTCATATATTAATACAACTTTTTTGTTCCAAGACAGGTTGGTAGAGAGATGAGTAATACAAATAAAAAAAGGTAAAAGGAAAGTGGCGACTATATGTCACAATGCTGCAGGTGAAAAGACGACATCAGTGTAACCCGGTAGAAATTATTTGAACCGATTAATATTTTTTGAAATGCCTGATTTTTTCTTTAATAATCTAGATTCTAATTTTCCAGGTACTGAGGGACATAAAAAAAAAAAAAAACAGACACATAAAAGGAAAAAACATCAGGAATGGTTAGAAAGTCCGGTGATTGTTTGTTGTGTTTGCACTTATTTTATGCCTTCATGATCAAAAAGCTGTTTTATTCAATGATATTTGTGGAAAATGAACTACCTAAGCATGGGCTGCTTTTTCAAACAAACCCTTAGAGTATATAACACAGAGCAAGAACCCACAGAAGTGCAGAACTCATGTTGATTAATTACATATTACAACCCTGTGAGGATATTATAAGTACATATACCAGGCACGCAGAAATGAAAGATTTATCACCTATTATTAACCTACTTGCAGTAAACATTTTTTTAAGAGGATCCTTTGGGCTGAGTCTCCACTTTTCCTCGGATTTGTGAGGATCTTGCCTCCATTTTAGTTTGGTCCACTGTGGCTTTATCCGAATGAACAGGTCTGTCGGAGCATCCGTGCAAAGGCTCATGGGACTTCCACAGCATGTGAGGTCTCGCGGAGCTTCCTCCGTTACTCCTCGGCCTCCGCTGAATGCGCTCCCCCTCCTCTTCCTCCTCCTCCTAAGACATGACTCCGAACACGGGATTGTGGCGGCAGATAGACGGGCCGATCTCCTCGTAGTCTTTCTTGGTGTGGCACACTTGGTAAAACTCAGGCTGCAGAAACACAAAATATCCTGGTTAGTACATGTCGTGGATTTTAAAACTAAAAGACAATAGAGAGACGAAGTTCCGCCCATCTACTGCCGACCCATGGGACCTTATTTCGGAAAAAGTATGTATTGAAGTCAATGGGGAGAGAAAACGTATCTTTCGATCCCGTTTGAATTGTGCCACGAATTACACATATGATGTTTGTCAATCTTAAAAAATCATTTCCATGTCAAAAAAAGTCACAGTTTGTCGTAAAACTGTTGAAATATAAGACTATGAAAAATACGCAACTAGAAAGACTACAAATCCCAGAATCCCGGTCCCGGTCCCGCATGCTGGCTCTTACGGAACCGACTAACTCCCCTTGTGTGTATGTACAGCTCTCAACATGCCCAGACTTGGAGTGATTTTCACCTCTTTTAATACTTTTCGCCTCATTCTGAAAGAAAGAAGTGAAATGTGCCAACGTGGCGGCCGTCTTGGTGTGTGGTGCGAGACGGGAGATGTAGTTCATTTCACAGTTTTACGACACATTTTGATTTTTTTGACTTGCAAAATTATCTTTTAAATTGACAAACATCATATGTGTAATTCGTGGCACAATTCAAACGGGATTGAAAGATAACTTTTCTCTCTCCATTGACTTCAATACATACTTTTTCCGAAATAAGGTCCCATGGAGGTCCCCCGGAAAGGGAGGGACTTCGCCTCTCTATATGTGCTGTGTTTTGGTTGAATAGACTATATGGAAAAAAACGTTTAATCTTTATTTTGTTCAAGTGGAACTCTCAATGGTGTAACAGTTTCAATTAATTCCTGAAACCTGAAGCAGCAGGAGGGATGATTATGTGTTGTTAGAACAGCTCTAAAAACTGATTTGATACTCACAGTAGACGCCAGCATTGATCCTCCGAACCACACGGCGTACCTCTGCATGTGATGAGTGATGACTTGCACATCGATGGGCTTGGGCTGAAAAACAGAAGAATAACTTTAGCTATCCTGGCTCCAAAATGGTGAAATGAGCTCCCCATTGACATCAGGACAGCAGAAAGCATACACATCTTCCGGCGCAGACTGAAAACTCATCTGTTTCGACTCCACTTCGAGCGATAGAATTACTATCAAAGCACTTATATACTAATAAAGGACTGGCTTATCTAAAGCCAGTTGAGTAGCACTTAAAATGGTTTGGCTCTATGAAACCTGATGTACTTATATGATTCTGTTTTCTTCTAGTTTGTATCTTCCTGGTCGAATGCACTTATTGTAAGTCGCTTTGGATAAAAGCGTCAGCTAAATGTAATGTAATAACTCGATAATAAAAAAACACCACTTCCTATAAGCTTCCCTGAAAAACATTCTGGCTAGGGGTTTATAAAAACTTCTCTTATAGGGCTCCTATCATGCTATTTTTAGGCATATATTATGGGGCTCAGATAGATACAAATACAAAAAAAACATGTCTATGATGCGTTTTGCTCAAAATACCAAACAGATCATGCATTTTAGACATCCCTCATATCCCTCTATTTCAGCCCTGTTATGGCGCATTTCCACTACAGGGCCTCGCTCGGCCTCGCTCGGTATGGCTAGGCCTCGTTAGGCCTTGTTAGGACTGGCTCACTTTATGCTGCGTTTCCATTACAGTTTAGTAGCTGGGGCAGTAACTATAGTAACGCAGTGTAGGCGGAGCCGTGACGTCATCTTCAATGTGAACCACAGAAAAACAACATCAGCCGTTAGCTGTTAGCCCTCAGAGCTCACAGCTCCTTATATCTGTTCAGAAACTCGACAAAAGTTAAACAAGTACAAACCACAGACTGACTGTGTCATGGTGAATACAGTCGCTGCTTTATTTATGTCTGTATAGGCCGTTGTTGTGAGTGTGGACGGTCGGAGCATATACAACGTTAGCTTAGCCAATCTCCATTCAGAAAACACGCATTTTAAAAGGTTTTTCGCCTGCCGTCTGTCTGCAGACTTGTCAAAGCATTAATTCATGGTTTTTACTAACTGGTATCAGTATGTTGTTACTTCGGCATCATTTTGAAACGTGTATTACAATTAAATCACGGTCAAATATGTTCATTTTGTTGTAGTTGTAGCCCCCTTGCCAGAGATTCTCTCTCTAGTTTAGCATACTGAGCCCGACTCAGCCTGGTTGTTGGCCCGCTAAGAACCTCGATTTTATGGGGCCAGAAAAACGGTGACATAGTACCCGCTAGCCGGTACCACGCTAAGTGGAAACGCAACCAAAAATGGAAGCGAGCTCCGCGCTGTAGTGGAAATGCGCCATTAGAGAACTGCTGATTCTGGGTCAGTAGCTGCTGGCCCCACCCCCTTTGGAGCACGCAGGCACACTGTGAGCTCCAGAGAGAAGAGAGAGATGTCTACCGGCAGATACAGCTAAATGCTGCCGTGATGAAACCCATATCATGTTCCAAACCACATCAAGGATTATTTCTGAAACAGTATAGAGCTCAAATGCTTCTTCTCTTGCGGGTTTACTACAAGGTGAGTAGCTTTTAATATCCTGCTTTTTCACACATACTCTCTCCAGTACAGGTTAGCTCTGTGTTAGCGATGCTTGCTAATGTAAACAAAGACCATATTACGTCCAAAACACGTCGCGCATTGTTTCTGATAGCGACGTTTCTGATAGGGCCGTGGGCGTAAAGCCAGCCCACATTTCAGATATTACGTCATATCGGACGCAAATCTGGATCAGCTCCGTTCTACCCCCGTTTTTAGAGATTTGGGTACGGAGGAAAAGAGAGAGGGTTTTGTTTTCTGACACTCTGAGTTCCCTGACACATATTTATGTACAAAAGACATGAAAAAGTGCATTTTGCATGATAGGAGACCTTTAATGCATTACAAAAG